CATAAGAAAAGTCCAATGGAAGGGGGTTTATCCAGCCTGGTTCAACCACCACTAACCTACTGGATGACTTCTCTGGGCCTGAGTTTCCATATCCATCAAATGAGAGAGTTGGACTCACTCCCCTCCAATGTTCTTATCAGTTATTCCTAAATTTTCCTGTGAGGACAGCTATTGTGGAACTCTCTCTCTATGAGAAATCCAGTTAAAAAAAAAAAAAAAGATATTGAAATGGAGAAGGGAAAGAGTAACATCCAGGTAAACTATAAAACTAAAAGATGGCAGAGGGTCTAAAAAGGTAGAGCACAAGTAGCCCTGCCAAGCTGAAACAGGTAGGGCTGATGGTTTTATGATAATGCCAGTCAAATTAAAATGCAAATGAAGCACTGTCTTTGTGTTCTCCCTTCCAGATGCAGCCTTCCCAGCCTCGTGTGGCCCAGGGTCACCTCTCCTTTCTCTGGCCATCAGAAGCATTTGCTGAGTGTTTCCTCTGGATGAAGCACATGCTCAGTGCATAAGTCTGTACTCCTGCCTTTGGCAAGTGATCATACACATTCTCCTTGTTCACCTTTTTACAGAATCTTTTATTCCTGGAAGAAGTTTTGGAAAATGAGCTGTAGAATTTGGCTGTTTTGTGCCTCACCCAGGATCACCCAGCCAGATATCCTTAACCAAAATCAGGTTACTATCTAGATGGCACAAAGCTGAGAGTGGAGAGAGACTGACAGATCAGCCCAGGCATCTACTGGGGAATTCAGGCAGCCAGCTCATATCCCTGTAACCTCCTAACTATGCCAGGAGAATGGTGAGCATTGCAGCCAGTCATTGCCAGAAAAATCTTCCCCTCAGCCTGTCAATACACAGTTCAGAATAATATGCAGAGATGGCCCCTTCCTTGAGCGCAGGGAGTAGCCTTTCCACCCTATCCAGTTTGACCTACCTGATAATTCTTGGCTTTCAAATACATGATTGCCAGGTACAGACAGTTGGCATGCTACCACTTATGTAAAAATAGTGGAGTAGTGGGAGGAATAATACATTTGTACATAAGCATTTGTTTATGTATCATAAAATATTACTGGACAGTATATGCAAGAAACCAATAACATCAGTTTCTTGTGGGGAAGGAAACTGGGTGACTGGAAGACCAGCATAGCAGAATATTTTTTACTATATACCCTTTTATTCAAAAACTTAAATACACAAAAGAAAATTAGCTGAAAAGCTCTTTTTTGTTATGGCAGCTTGGTTTATACTATGCCTCCAAAAGGTATAAAATATGAAGGAAGTGGAAAAACAAACTCTAGCCCATCGTACCCTGTAATCAACTGCTATTAATGTGTACATTACATGCTTGGGATCTGTTTCCTCAACTAGATTATAAATCTCCCTGGAACACAGATTGCTTCCTTTTGGTATCCTGTAGCATCGAGTACAATGTCTCAGAAAGTAGATGCTTAAAATATGCATGTTGATGATAATGCCCAGTGCTAGAAAAGTTTTAGTGAAATTGGCACATTCATGCTGAATGTAACTAAGGGCAATGTGAATTTGTGGAATCATTTTGGAATGCAGTTTTGCAATATGTAACAAGATAAATGGAGATGTTTATGCTGATTGGCCTTGTAATTCCCCTTTGGAGATTTTATTCTAAGAAAATAATTTCAAGGAAGGAAGATGTATATATGAAGATGTTCATGATGTTACATGTTGAAACATTGGGACTTACTCAGGAATGACCAAATGTACTGTGGTATAACAACTCAATGGAAAACTGTACAGCTGTGCAAAATGATGAATAGGAAACTAGCAATATTGAAAATGTTTATGATAAGAAATACAAAAATTTTGATTACAACTCTATATAGTGCTAAGATACTGGGGAGTAACTTGTCTTTTTGTTTTCTTCCTTTATAACCCTTGATCCTTCCCTACATAGGGAGCTAGCATGAGGCAACCATGCTTTCTGGGAGTTATAACTCTGGGATTAGAAAACAGACATCAGATTCCTCTCTTTTAAGCTCAGTTGCACATTCAAGACAGAAAATATTTGGAATAATATGCAGACTAAATAAAAATTATCCAAGCATAGGAGGGAAGAAAAAGTCATTTTACAGATGAGAGAAATAAAACTTAGAGAGGCCCAATATTAATCTGTTAGTAAGGAGAGGAGCCAGGATGTGAACCCAGGTCTGCCTGACTCCAGGAATCCGTGCTCTGATCCATGAGTACCTGAGCAAAATTACCACTGCCTGAAGATCGTGGAATGGTAGATGCAGAAGGACTGGGAGACAGGTTGGTCTCTGATGAGGCCCCATGTGAAAAGATGTCAGGTTCTCTAAAACATGAGGTCGGAACTGGATGAGGACCTGATTACCTCAAATAGGCACTGATTTCAAGATGCAGCCCAGGGTACCCTGGGAAGAGTTCTCACTTGTCCACCCTAGCTTTCACTCACACTTACCTGCCTGCTGTCCTTTATGTCAAAATATGATTGTTTCATGATGCTTTGCGATTTTTTTCAGTCTACAGCAGGGACGGATTTGTATCAACCCCACCATGCTATTTATTCAGACCACATGTGCTAGATAACTTGTCTTTTCCTGAGGAGTCACTAGAGTGTAGGGCAGCATAATATAGCTAAGTAGGCTTTGTCAAGCACACAGTTTGCTTGTGTTTGGCAAGGCCCAGGCCTGACTGATTCAGCCAGTAAAGATACAAGGAGCCAGTTTAGGGACTTCCATGGTGGTCCAGTGGTTAAGATTCCGCCCTTCCAATGCAGAGGTGAGGGTTCAATCCCTGGTTGGGGAATTAAGATCCCACATGCCACGAAAAACAAAAAACCAAGGAGCCAGTTTAGCCTCAGACAGTTTATTACTTACATGTATAACAAAGGGAAGAATGCATCAAGGTGCCAGTGGTCCTTGTCTCATGTATGAAAAAGGACACTACTGAAGCAAAAGAAGGGGCCAGGTGACTGCAATGTACGTTCTGGGATAACTGGCTTCTGAGGAGCCAGTTCTAGGCTGCAGCCAGTTCTAGGTTTTTATATTCTCAGCTCTATTCTGACGGGGGTGGGGTAGAAAGCCCACACCTCATCAGAACCTAGGAGGGTTCTGAGAGAACACTCCTGGCTGTCACAGGGGAGAACCCCAGGGGAGATTGCCTCAAGGTCTTCATAAGACTGTTCCTTTCCAGTTCTGGAAAGATCACAAAGCCTTCTGCTACAACTCAGATAACCGTTGGTTCCAGCCTTTGCCTAGGAGGCCTATGTGGATACATGCAAGGTGGCCAAGGTGCGTGATGGAGATGTTCCCCCCACAGATTTCTCAGGGTTAGAGGCTTTTTAACCCTGCCATAGAAAGAGAAAATAACACTGAAAACAAAGAAATCTGAATTCAAATCTAGTTCAGTCTGTCATTAGACATATGATTTCAGCACATCATTTACCTCTCTGGAGCTTGTTTTTTTCTTTTTTTTTTGGTGTTTTGTTTTCCCCTGAGGTTTGCTGTTAACCTCTCTCTTTTTTTTAATTTTTATTTTTTATTGCAGTATAGTTGATTAACAATGTTGTGTTCATTTCAGGTGTACAGCAAAATGATTCAGTTATACATATACATGTTTCGATTCTTTTTCAAATTCTTTTCCCATTTAGGTTATTACAAAATATTGAGCAGAGTTCCCTGTGCTATACAGTAGGTCCTTGTCAATTATCTATTGGAGCTTGTTTTTTGAAATCCATAAAATTATATTTTTTCTTTGCTTTTGGGGAGGTCTTTTTCCTCTTATTCAAATATAAACTGCACAAAGTCAGGAATTTTGCCTACTTTATTCACTGTTGTAGCACCAGTGCTTGGAACAGTGACAGGCACGTGGCAGAGATTCAGTAAACATTTGGATGAATGAAATGAAGTGCAAGATGTTTCATTGTATTTTGTTAGCATGTGCATCTGCATTCAAAGCCTTAAAACCTACTTTCGGGTGTTATTTTTTGTTTGGGGGTTTGTTTGGTATTTTTGCACAAAAGTCATAGAGGAATCCCAGTGAAAACATGACTGTACTTTTAGAGGAACTCAACTCAAAAAAAAAAGCCTGAGCAAAGACTCATTTAACCTCAGAGTGAATAATTGCATACTGAGGAGTAGAACATGGCACCCAGATGGATCTTTTATTACAATAAAGCCTAATTACACACACCTCTGATAAATGGGTCCTTGTAATAATATAAAATAGGGAAGGCCCAGCTTGTCCACTGTTTTGTTCTACACCTTCCACTTTCCCAGTCATCTCCCAAGTCTCCCCTTTTCTCTTTCTCTCAGCCAATGTATGGTGTAGAATAGGAAATACATTGCGGGTCAAGAGACCTGCCTCTGGTCCTGATAATAGCAAACCACTCACTTCCCTACCCTGGGCCCCAGTTCCTTCATCTTTAGGTGTTTGTATGACACACGTGGTTTTCCTTAAGTGCAATTAAGTGACGTTATTACATCTCTTTCACAGATAAAGAAACCATGGCTCAAAGAGACTGACCTGCTAAAGGTCATTAATTAGTACTAGAGCCAAGCTTTCTGACTCCAAGTTCAGGTTTCTTTCCACCATAACAATGAGACACCCAGAAAATCCCCAAGGTCCTGGTCCTTCCCTCTCAATGTCATCTCCATGAAGGGGCAGGGATTTTTGCCTGGCTTGCTCCGTGTTCTAATCTCAGTGTCTACAGCTCTGCCTGGCACATAGGAGGCACTCAATATATATTTGTCGAAGGAAAGAAATAGATGACTACGGACGTGCCACAGTTCGTCCTGTGATTTCCAGCAAGTTACTGCCCCTTTCTGGATTTCTTCTCTGTCCCCCACCCCCGCCCAGTTTCCTTCCCGCGCCTCGTTCGCTCCTCCGGCCACTAGACGGCACTGTCGTAAGGGAACCCCGCCGAGCAGAGAGCTGCGCTCTTCTTGGGTCCGTTGCGCCTCCCCCCGTTGAAGGGCAGCGCGCAAGAAACCGGAAGTGCTGGAGCCGCCGCCGCCGCCTTTAAGTGCCGCGTTCACCGCTTCGGTTACCGCCGGCGCCGTAGCCAAGGAGGCCGCTGCCCCCTGGTCGGGAGTGGAGGCCGCGCGGCATGAAGCGGCGCAGGCCCGGTCCTTAGCGCGCGTCAGGACGGTCCGGGCGGGGCCGGGGGGGGAAGGTGCAGTATCCGCCCCCTCTCCTTCCCCTTCGCCCGCGAGGCCTGCGCCTCAGCCCACTCGGGCCTCTCCGCCTCACGGAGGAACCGCCCGGCGCATTCTCCCGGTTAGCCCGCTCTGCGGTTTACCCGGCGCGCCGCCCTGCGCGGGCCACAGCCGGTGGCGGGACCCCACTTGCCGGAAGAGGAAGCCCAGGCTCTCAGATTCCGAGTCAGCCAACGTTCACTGGGCTCCCCCTGAGCGCTGGGTGCTGGCCTCTGGACTTCCACGTCCGTTATCTTAATTGAGCCTTGCTGGGGTTGGGAGCCGGGTATTGTCCGGGCTTACAGATGAGAAACGGAAGCCCACAGAGGCGAAGGGATTTGTCTAAAGTCCGACTGTGGCAGATCGGATTCGGACTGAGATTTTCTGGTTTCCCAGCTCGTGTTTTCTACTGCCCCACTTTAGGTCGATTCCCTCCTTGTTTACTGGCCTCTTCTCATTCTATTTCACCTACCTGGCACAGGATAGGTGCTTTTCTTTCCTTTTTTTTTTTTCCCAAACCTCTCCCCTCACACACTTTTCTTCTAAGCCTTGGCATCCCCCCAGTCCCCTTTCTTAATATTCGCTGCTACACCTCTCCTCTTCTTCCGCATTCTAGCTTTCAAGATTGTTGCCCACTTTGTGATAATGAACCTCTCAACTAGCTGACGAGTGAAATAGCTAGGTTTCAACGAGGCTTGGGGTGTTTAAGTGGACAGACTGGCGCCTGGATTAAAAATTAAGGAATGACATTTGAGTGGGTCCAAATTCAAAAGTCCTGAGGCTATTTTCTAACCTTACATGCTCTTCTCTGAATGAGGGGCTTAGTGAATGGGGAGGTGTCTTGACATCGTAGTCCGTTGTTGCTATGTTAGCACAACTTTTTTCCCTCCATTTGCCACTGAGCCACATCTCTCTCCATCACCTATCTGGGCTCTGAGAGCCCAGAATTAAAACCGATAACAAAGTGACAGGTATAATCACAGACCCTGCTTTTCTTCTTTTACTAAGCCAGAATTTCAACAAACTTAACACTTCCGTTTCTAGAGAAGTTACCTAGTTCAGTTATTTTCAGAGTATATGTGGAAAGGAAATAAGCAAAAATGGAATGCACTGAAAATGGGTAGTACATTCTTTATCTTGTGAAAATCTTGATGTTAACTGGAAGTTAGTTCTCTCCGCAAAAATGACCCTGTAGTTCTTACTGGTTATTCTGTTGAGTCTATTCTGTCTCCAGTCAGCTGAACATGTATTCTGTAAAATAATACAAATTAGTTATTATGTAAAAGGCAGAAGAACAGGACCAGGCACATAGAAATAAATTTTATTATTAATCATCTGTCATTTTTGAAGATTTGCAGCAGCCACTGAGTAACCTCACATCTGTATGCCTTTTATACTTTTAAATGTTCTTCCATAATTTACCTTTTAATGTGTATCCGGATGTCAGGATTTACACTACCGTTTGGATATTCTTTGGAGTAAATTGGGCTATACATTTCTGAAATAAAATCAGTTTATAATTTTCATAATTAAAGTGCAGATACAAAGTAATTCAGGCATTGTATGTTATATCAAAAAGAATATGCATCAGTTTCAAGTACTATTTGAGACTTTAGGCTTAATCTTTTTGGGCACATATGATCCATTTTAATAATGATCAACAGCTTTATATCTTATTTCATTATCCTGGTGAGCAGGATTGGATGGTGAGAAAAGGAAAGACTCCTGTGAGAAGAGAGCAGGATGAGCAGAGGGATCTATGCTTGAAGTTGAGTCACTTCAAAAAGATCTCTTTGAATGTGGAAGAGATCTGAACAGATGAAAATACAATCAGGTAGGCACCAGGGAAGGGCCTTAAGTGAAGAGGTAGGTGGGGCAGTGAAATAAATGCACTGTGCTAAGAACATGTACTGACCTATTTTCTAATTTTTGCAATTAGAAAACTCGGGTCACATATTTTGAGAATGTATTTGTATGTAAGGTGTTACGGAAATCTGGAAATTAAATCAGTTAGTTACACGTTTGTGTAAATTACTAAAATTATGTAATATCAGGTCTAGCCTAGGAAATGCAGGATATACATTGACCATAAAATACAGAATAGTGTCATTTGAACTGTAAAGTGTGTGTGTGTGTGTGTGTGTGTGTGTGTGTGTGTGTAGAGAGAGTCAGAAATAGTCCAGGGACCTAGTACAGTTTAGGAATACCAGATGGTTTTGCTTAAGTGCAAGGTAATGGCAACTTTTATGTAAGAGACTTGTCAAAATAATGACTCAAGAAGCTGGGCAGTAAGCTTGGGAAGTCTGTCTGAGCTTCCCTGTTCCATCCCCAAGCTCTATTGTTTCAAGTAGTGGTTTGGAGATGAAGTTTCAAGTTTAACGCAAGGGGAGTTGAGAAGAATGAGCCCAGTTTGTATATCTCCTTGTCTCACCTGTCCCTTACTCTGTTAGGAATCAAACTAGATCCATTGACACATTTGATAGAAAACAGACCCCCACCAGCTTTTAGATGGGCAAACAACCATTACTGTCATGTACTGCTACTTAATATCAATATGCTGAATACCATGTGAGCTAAATGACTTTTCCTCTGTTGAGCTGTTTGGATTTTAATCATTGGAGGTAAATGCCCAGTTGTAATAATATTACAAGTTGTATACTATAGAACTCTCCAGTAGATTTTCTGGCTGCTCTTGCTACTGTTATATTGAAAACGGTAGTGTATTTCACTGTAGCCTGAAAAAAAACACAATATCGTGGCCGTGGCCTCACAGTTCTGTTCCTTTCGAATGCCGTACAGCACACCTGATGGACTAATTCACAACCCATACCTGCTAATGACTTTTTCTCTGTGGTTGGTAGTTTTTACCACGAACTCCTGTTAACCTGTGAAATTAAGGTTTAAAACAGACATCATGTTAAATATACAGCCATGTATTGATTTTTGTTGTAGAAGTAGTTAATAATTACGTGAATTGGTTACACAAATGCAATCTAGTTTATCTCCTAAGTCCACATGTTTCGGACATTTATTAGTTCAAAAAGAGCAGGTTGCCCCAGAATTTTTGTTTATGTTGCTCCTTTTTGGTAGCGTTATGAATAATGCATGTCAGAATATCATACAGTGGCTTATAATAACACTTCTTGTTATTTTCTCTGATACTTTGCACCTGTTACATTTAAATATTGAAATAGATAAAGGAAAAAATTATCCTCTTCTGGATTTGTAAAATGAAAGAAACATCATTAGTAGATAAAATCTTAATACTGTTTTTGGGTTGAAGTGGTAAATTGGGTTTGAACTTTTATCAAAATATTGATATTACAAACATTAAATGTTTTGTGCATAAACTACAACTAAAGCCACTTTTTTCTCATTTAATCATAGAAGTTTTATAATCTGTAGTAATAGTCACATAAATTCCTTATAGTATAGAGTTACATAGGGGATCATCAGATAGTGATGTCTAGGCAAGAGCAAAAGACAAAGAAAAAATGTACCAGCCAGTTAGGTCTTTTGTTGTTTGGAGTCTCATTTAAAAGGAAACAGTATTTATATTATCTTGGGTAAGCTCCCTAGAAAGGTTATTAGAAGTACATTGTTTGCCACAATTTTATAACTGTTCTAATTGGTCGTGATTATTTCTGTTCTCTGAAGAAGTCCACATTTATCAAATGAGTTACTTTTTTTAAGTGCAAAAACACTTAACTCCCTTGGCACATTTAGCTTCACTATTGACATGCTCTTTGAAGGAACATAGCAGCCAACTGGCATATGGCCCGTTTCCTTCCAATGTGGGAAAGAAAAAGGAATTTTGGCAAGAGATACTTAAGGAGAGCCTTTTATAAAAGTTCCCCAAGAGATTTATAGTCAACTGTGAAATAGACATGACCTCAATTTTTTTTTAATCTCATTTTTAAAGAAAAGGGGGAGCTATTGCTTTTCTTACGAAGTTTAATTGCAACTGTACTGAAAAGCATTTTTCCCCCTTTTTGGGGGTGTTGGGGGGCCCTATCAGACTGTCATTCTGATTAATATAAGAGAAGGCAGACCTGTGAACTTCATGTGCCTTATTTTTCTAGGAAAATGCAACATGGCAGCAGCGATGGAAACAGAACAGCTTGGTGTTGAGATCTTTGAAACTGCAGAGTGTGAGGAGAATATTGAATCACAGGATCGGCCTAAATTGGAGCCGTTTTATGTTGAACGATACTCCTGGAGTCAGCTTAAAAAGCTGCTTGCTGATACCAGAAAATATCATGGCTACATGATGGCTAAGGCACCACATGATTTTATGTTTGTGAAGAGGAATGATCCAGATGGGCCTCATTCGGACAGGATCTATTACCTTGGTGAGTATGAAGTCATAGTTTCTGAAAGGAAATGCTTTCTTAATTCAAACAGGCTAGATGCAATTGGTACTCAAATTTTGGTGAATAAATAAGTGAATGAATCAGTGATGGTTCCACCAAAGGAAAAAAAAATAATTAAAAGAACTTCAGTTTTGGTGCTGTTTTCATTTTGTTTTGTCCCATTAACTTGATTTTCATTTGCACATAACAGATCATGAATTGATCATGATCTTACTTTCAAAGTAAAGATGCTAGATATTACTTCTTCCTAAAGCTAGTTCAAAATGCCTTTCCTTAGGAATGGTCAGATTAGGAACACAAATAATAAAAACAGTAGTTCCCACTCTCAACAGCTACTGCTTTCGTTTTTTTAAACCAAGGCTGGTTTTGGTCTCTTCTTCCTGAGCCCATTCACTCCAGGTTTAAGGTCTGTCTTCATTAAATGCACAATACCACTGATGGACATTTTTGTTTTTTTGTTTATGCACCTTAAATGCTTTACTAAGATGTTGTAGTAAAAGGAATAGGTAGTAAATTCTGAGCAACTATCATGCTTAGGCACAGCTTAGTATTGACTAACCTAGCACATATATAGACACAGGGCAGTGGATAAAGAGCTAGTCTTGGAATCAGAAGCCTAAGCTCTGGTATCCGCTCTTTGCTGACTCGTTTACCCTGTGGGTCTCAATTTCCTCATCTATCAAATGAGGGTTAATGTCTATCTCATGGGATTGTCTTAAGTATTAAACATTTTACATGAAAACATTTCCAACTTAAACCAATATTAAGAAACACAATACTGTTCTTGTACAGCCAAACCAAGTTTTATTGTACTATGGCTAGTTTGAGGAAGGAAACTAAAAAGGGAAAGAAAAAAAATTTGTAGACCCCATTCCCATCCCCCAAGCAGCTGTCTTCATTACAGTATTATTATTTTTTTTTTACAGTATTATTTTTTAGGATTGGAAATAATAGTTGTAAATTATAGTATGCTGCCTAGCATTCACCAGCTGGTAATTATTATTTGTATTAGCTTAAGTCCCAAAGGCCTATTCATTAATTGTCGCTCATTGAACACATTTATTGAGAGATGATGCTAAAATATTTAGGTAAGTCATCTAAGTAGGAAATATATATATATATCTTTCTCAAGAAACTTATGCTATGGTTTTTTTCGGAGGCAGAAAGTCAGACTTTCCTCAGATTGGAGAAGCAATATAAGAAAAGCCCATCCATACTTGCTAAATCAGGCAGCTTGGTTGGAAGAGAGTTTGGGCACAATTAGGGGAGGAACCCTTATATTTAGTATAATAGTTAAAAATAATAGCCATACCATCCATAATTCTTAACTATAAACAAATGTCTCACAAAAATGTTTATGAATTAACCATTAAAACTGCTTAAAGAAAGGGATTTCACTCCCAGTACAATAGTTGAAATGGAATCACAAGCCCATAAATTTTGGAGTTTCCTTCCTGTAGTCACGCTATTTTATTTTCCTAACCCAGAGCCTGAAGGCAATGAATGGTTGTTAGAATAAGGAAGAAAGGATGTGAGAGATGGGAACACTGGAGGAACTGAGGCCTGAGTTGAGTCCCACAGCTAGGGGTTGGGTGGGAAAGGAAGGGCTGAATAGCCAGAGATGTGTTTGAGGGCCGACCTGCTAATGTGCCTTTGTTTATTAAGTTTTTAAAAATAGGTTTTCTCCCCTCCTCCAAAGCTGTTTGACAATTTTTTTTTTTAAAGAGATATTCTCTGCATGAGTCCACATTAGTAATTGTAGATTCAATTTTTTTTAAGCAACTCCAGAGTATTCCATTATATAATTGTGCCATCTTTTACTTAACCAGGCCTCTAATAATGGGCATTTAGGTTTTTCTATTTTGGTATTAACAAAAAATGAGGGAGCAGATATCACTGTATTAGATCATTTTTGTACATATGTGAATTTACTTAATAGGACTAATTCCAAAGAGTGGAATTATTGGGACAAAAGGTGTACAGATTCTGAATTTGTATTGATATTGCCAAATTGCCCCTCCATTGAGGTTATAGAGTTTACATCCCTGCCAGCATTGTCTCAGAGTATTTCTCTACACCTGTACCAATAGTGAGTAATAAAACTTCTTTTTATCTTTCCCAGTCTGATTGGTGAACAGCAGTTCCTCACTGTAATTTTTTTAAATTATTATTGTTTTTTAATTGACATATAACATTATATTAGTTTCATGTGTACAACATAATGATCCGATATTTATATACATAGTGAAATGATCACTACAGTAAGTCTAGTTAACATCTGTCACCATACATAGTTATAGTTAATAAAAAATTTTCTTGTGATGAGAACGTTTAAGATTTATTCTCTTAGCAACTTTCAAATATGCAATATAGTATTGCTGTACATTATATCCCCATATTTCATTGTAGTTTTAATTTTCTTATGAGTGAGGTTGAGCATCCTTTCCCATATTTACAAGGCGTTTGTATTTCTTTTTCTGTGACTGATCTGTTTGTAATCATTGTCTATTTTTTATTGGGTTGTGGGTACTTTTCTTATTGACATAAAGCACTTTTTTGTACAAGAAGGGAATTAACCCATTGTAGTATTTTTCCCTGAGATTTAATGTCTTTTGCCTTTAGTGCCTTTTGCCCTTCTGTAGAAATCTGATTTTTTGTTTTTGGTAGTTAAATTTTTACTTTTTATGTAGTTTTGCATCACATCTAGAAAGGCTTTCTCAGCTCCAAATTATATTTTTTGAAATCTTTTTTACTTTGGACTTCGTTTTGTTCCATTGATCTGTCTGTCAAATCAAGTGCCAATGTTATGCTGCTGTTACTATTATTATTTTTATCATAACTTTAGATGTTTTACTATTTTATAGTACTAGTCACCCTTCATCACTCTTTTTCATACTTTTCTTGATTATTTTTGTTTGCTTGTTTTTCTGTGAGAACTTAAAATTAGATTAGAGCTCCTTTCTCCCAATCCTATTTATACTGTTTTAGGATTACATTATATTTATAGATGAAGTTAGGAAAATTGACAATCTTTATAAAATATTGAGCTTTTCAAGAAAGTTGTATGCCATTTCATTTGCTCAAGTCTTTTATATCCATCTGCATATCAATATTTTTCCATGTAAATCTGTTGTTTCAGAAATTTTAATATACTTCGGACACCAATAAATAGCAGTGTGTCAACAGGAAAGAAACAATGGGAAAAGGTCATTTTGTGTTTAACCAGAACTGGTGTGTGTGTGTGTACATAGAATGCATTGGAAATTTTTATTGGTCAAGGTTGAAGCCAAGGAAGGCATTATGGAACAAGGAGCAGTTTTAAGAGGAGCATTTGAAGTGATTGTGGATGGCTCTCATTTGAGGGTAGATGAGAACCAGCTTTTTCATATTTGCAGGTTGAAAGCTCTTAGAAGGAAAAGGCTTAAGGAGGATATGATCATATTTTGTAAGATTATGAATGGTATGGATAAGTGACTACAGTCTTAAGAATTATGTAACAAAGTAACTCTGGAATGTACAAAATAGATCTAAGGCAAAACTAAGTGCTGAAGTAAATATCAGCTGATACCTGACTTTTTACTCCAAAAGGCAACAAACTAAGAAAGGTTTAAGAAAAGTTTAGGATAATAAAAGGATAAAGGAATCTGTGGGTATTTGGAGAGTCATCCCCCACCTTTGCAAGGGTTAGCATGGAAGTTACCATGCCCTTCCACAGACTGCTTTCTCTGCCATTATCAGAAACACAAGGCTGAGGATTTGTTCCACTAGAGAGAGTTTTTGTTCTTCCTGTGTGATTTATTTTCTCTTTCCTTCACTCTCCCCTAGCTTTTTTGGAAGTGATACCTTTCTAGCACCTTTTAGAGTAGAAGGACTTTGTTTTACTTTGAGTTTTCTTTGGTTCACCTCTTCATAACCATGTTGTATTTCTATTACTTCTCTTTGGTATGTAGTTTATTCTACACTGCTGTGATCTTCCCATTCAGTTATTGTATGATTTCACAGAATAGACCTATCTTCTACATAGTGTAGACCTCTTTCTTTCACAATTCTCGAATAAAGGATAAAGAGACTTTTAACAAATCAGATATCAGATTCTGTGTTGTTTTAATATGAATGTACTTTCATTTGAAACTTATTAGTGATTATAGTGGTAGAACATTTATAGTGAAGAAAAACTCAAATTGTTAGACCTATGTATATTTCTAAGTAAATACTTTAAATGATTCATAAAAAGAAGAAGCTTGATAGTCTGAAGTTGTCACAAAGTACCCCCATTTGGAATCTAATGAGTCTATTGCCAACTTGTAAGACACTAACAATTAAAAAAAAAAAAAACTAAAAGTGACACTTATCCTTACATCATCTTATACACTTTTATGTTTATTTTGAGAGGGACTAAAATTTGAATATCAAAAGGAAACCTGAGGATTTTTCTGGGAGCCTGAAGAAAATTACTGTGGCATATGGCATGTGCATCTCCTACTTGTTAACATTCATTATAGGTCCCATAGAGTACAAAATTTTGCAGTATATAGGAGGCATTATATACTTACTGCTATAATTGTGGTAGATTGCTATTTTTTAAAATAACAAAAAATGATTGTTTCCTTTTATAGCTATGTCTGGTGAGAACAGAGAAAATACACTGTTTTATTCTGAAATTCCCAAAACCATCAACAGAGCAGCAGTCTTAATGCTCTCTTGGAAGCCTCTTTTGGATCTTTTTCAGGTAGGGTTAAACATTGTTATTCCTATGATTTTGTGTATGTTTCTAGATATTACATTTGTTTAGGGACAGAAATTCAATTGGGGTTTTATATTTGAAGTAGATATGAATCAAAAGGAATTAAAACATTTTTATGTTTTTGCATGTATGACCATGAAATTTCATTAAATTCTCAATATCTGAAACTAGGGATAGTAGATATTACAATTCAGATTTTTTTTTTTTTTTTTTTTGGCCGCCCAGTACGGCGCAGCATGTGGGATCTTAGTTCCCCGACCAGGAATCAACCTGTGTCCCCTGCAGTGGAAGGGTGGAGTCTTACCCAATGGTCCCTGGACCGCCAGGGAAGTCCCCAGATTGTTTTTTGGCTACCTTTCTCCCTGTTTAACTATCATTCTCATCTACAAACTTGCTAGTTATGTAATTCTCACATTTTGGTGGAAGAGTTATTCACATAAAAGAAGTAATGTATATTTCCAGAAAGCTTTTTATTCAAATCTTTAAATTGAATTTTTAGTTCTAATATTTAGTAACAGTACTAATGTAAGGGTTAAATAAAGGTACTAAGTTCAGTTTTTTTTTTCTAAATAGCATAATTCAATTTATGTAAAATCAAAGGTTAGGTTTTTTTTTTTCTTCAATATTTTGTCTTTAGACAATATGTAAATGGTTCAAAACATCTCAAAAACAAGATGATAGTTTGGGTGTGATTGTTTTCCTTTTTAGTTCTCATTTATTATTTTTACATTGAGTATTGAATAGAATATTTGGACTAGGAACTAAAATGTGATATTTCTCTTAGGAAGTAAAACAAAACAAAACAAAACCTTCCATGACAATCATTTTGACTGCAACTATTTATCAGGGATGTTGTTTCTTACATTGGTTTGTGACTTTCCTTTAAAACAAAAAAATTCCTTATTCTAAGAACAGTGTGTAGAACTGAAATAATGGTAGTTTTCTCATGGAAAAGGTTGCAAATTAGTGAGTCAGAGTTGTTTTTTTTTTTAAGCTTTATTATGGAAAATTTCAAACCATACAAAAGTAGAATCCTATGCAAACTAGTTTTAACAATTTTCAAATCTTTGCCATCAGTGTTTCACTGTAGCCTTACCAGTCTTCCCTCACAATCCCTATCCCCACTTCTCAGATTATTATTATTATTTTTTAGAGAGTTGGCATTCTTATTTATTTATTTATTTGGTTGCACCAGGTCTTAGTTGCAGCTCGCCAGCTCCTTAGTTGCAGCACATGGACTCCTTAGTTGCAGCAGGTGGGCTCCTTAGTTGTGGCTCCAGGACTCCTCAGTTGCGGCTTGCCGGCTCCTTAGTTGTGGCATGCGAACTCTTAGTTGCAGCATGCATGTGAGATCTAGTTCCCTGACCAGGGATTGAACCTGGGCCCCCTGCATTAGGAGTGCAGTGTCTTATCCACTGCACCACCGGGGAAGTCCCACATCTCGGATTATTTTTAAAGAGTTCCCAAATAGGTCATTTCATTCCTAAATAAGTCAGTATGTATCTCTAAAGAATATAGATTCTTTTTAGATATCATCACATCTTAAAAAATCATTGATCATTTCTTCATATAAAATATTCAAATTTCCCTGATTTTTAAATTTCTCTTTTTTTACACTTGATTTGTTAAATCAGAATCTAAGTAAGGTTCATATATTACAATTGATTGATAGGTTTCTTAAGTTTCTCTTACTTTTAATATATTGCTTTCCTTTCCATCCATTTTTTCCCCACTGCAGTTTATCTATTGAAGAAAGAGGGTCTGTTTTGCTGATTGTATTCCTGTGGTGTTATTTGATATGTTCTTCAGTCTCCTGTATTCTCTGTAAATATAAATAGGTAGTCAGATCTCAAAGCTTCATCAGACCCAGGTTTCCTCTTTTTTTCTCCCCCAATAATACTTTACAGATCAAAAGAATTGAAAGCAGGGCCTTGAACAAATAATTCTATACCCATATCCATAGCAGCACTATTCACAATAGGCAAAAGGCGGAAGTAACCCAAGTGTCCATGGACAGATGAATAAACAAAATGTGTCATATGTTGGGTTGGCCAAAAAGTTCATTCAGGTTTTTCCAGAACATCTTTTTTTTAATATATTTATTTATTTATTATTAATTTTATTTTGGCTGTGTTGGGTCTTCGTTGCTGCACGCAGGCTTTCTCTAGTTGCAGTGAGTGGGGGCTACTCTTCGTTGCAGTGCGTGGGCTTCTCATTGCGGTGGCTTCTCTTGTTGCAGAGCATGGGCTCTAGGCGTGTGGGCTTCAGGAGTTGTGGCACGTGGGCTCAGTAGTTGTGGCTTGTGGGCTCTAGAGTGCAGGCTTGGTAGTTGTGGCTCATGGGCTTAGTTGCTCCGCGGCATGTGGGATCTTCCCGGACCAGGGCTCAAACCCATGTCCCCTGCAGTGGCAGGCGGATGCTTAACCACTGTGCCACCAGGGAATTCCCTCCAAAACATCTTATGGAAAAATCTGAACTAACTTTTTGGCCAACCCAATACATGTGATGGAATATTCCTTCTTAAAAAAGAAGGAAATTGTGACACGTGCTGCAACATTGATGAACTATGAAGATATCATGATAAGTAAAATAAGCCAGTCACAAAAGACAAATACTGTCTGATTCCACTTATATGGGGTGCCTAAAGTAGTCAAATAGACTCCTAGAATGGTAGTTGACAGAGGCTAGGAGAAGGAAAAATGAGGAGTTGCTGTTTAATTAGTTTAATGGGTATAGGGTTTCAGTTTTGCAAAATGGGAGAGTTCTGGAGATGGGTTGCACAACCATGTGAGTATAGTTAACAGTAGTGAATGGTACACTTAAAAATTGTTAAGATAGTAAGTTTTATGTTATATATTTTACCACAATTAACAAAATAATATTTCATAGACGTTGTATGCCTCCATCAAAAGTCGTATAGAGCCTTATTTATCTTCTTGCAATGATAGCACTCTTTGATCATTACCTAGATCCATTATAAAACAGTGAAATTTTATCATTCCTTCTTCATTTATTAACTGAAAAACTTCTATAAAGAGAAAACTGCTATTCAACAACTATTCAGTTATTCTGAGTTCTAGTTCACAATAGAAAGGCAGGATGTTTCTTGTCCTTTATTTCCCATTTTTCAAATAATCTGTGTTCTACAGTCTTATATATGTGATCAGTTAGGGGTTTTGGAGGAGTTTTTGTATCTTTATAAACTTACAGTGTAAGCCTGTTTGGTATCTTTTGATCCATTGACAGTTATTATTCTTATTGTACAAATGTCTTATTTTTGGCTGTTGGAATCCCTTTCAACTTGACATGTCAAATCCTTTTGACGTGACCCTGGTAATAGATGATAGCGCTGTTGCTTTCTGCTGTGAAGATGTGTTATGATCATCTTTCACATTGCTTATCCCATGCTTAGAATCAGCCATTTCTCTCTAGTTCCTTTAGGGGAAAGTGGTGTTAAGAGACCATGATCTGGGTACTAGAGATGCTTATTATTATTGGGTTGTTAATCGTTTCTAGGTCTTTTTATTGGGCAAACTAGGGAATACATACATTGTGTGTGTGGGTGTGGGTGTGTGTGTGTGTTTGAAATGTACAGATCACCATGAAGTCATATCAATTCAGATAAGATATAAGGTCAGACTGATATATCCAGTTAAGATATTGCACTACAGGATTTTTCTTTAACCTCATTTATCCTACATACGAATTTTCTTTCTCTGGTGCCAAAGGTTCTGTTTTAAACAACAGTATGATTACTCATTTGCTTTACTCCATACTACACACAAAACAGTTTTAAAATAACAAATGAATCAGTGCTGATTACTTAACAGTAACTTGGAATTTGTCTTCTCTGTGTGGTCATGCTATCAGTTCTATACAATTAGATTCATTTGCTTCATTTTGTTTTCAAGTGTTAGGAATTCCTTTGTTTTTAATTTAATTTTTGTAGAAAATAGTTATATGGTTCCAAAGTCAGATCTACAAAACCAGAAGTATTCAGAGAAGCTCCTCATCTCCTCTACCCTATTTCTCCCCTTCTCCTTCTAGATAATCTTTGTGTTTTTAAATGGCTTATCCTTCTTTTTTAAAAAATATAAGTGACTACATAGATATTCCTATCCCCCATTAGATAAATAGTAACATACAGTATACATTTTCTCCACCTTGCAATTTTCAAATAACAATGTATCCTTCAAATCACTCCGTAAGAATATATAGTGAGTCCTCCATATCCACAGGTTCAGCATCCTTGGATGCAGAACTAAGCTGCATCCTTGGATGCAGCTGTACTAAGCCATTTTATAGTCTGAGGGACTTGAGCATCCACAGATTTTGGTATCCATGGGGGTGGGGGGTGTCCTAGAACCAATCCCTCACAGATTCTGAGGGACAACTGTATACATAATCTTTATTTCTTTTTACATCTGTGTTGTGTTGTACAGACAAATCATGTTCAACCAGTTCCCTCTTGATAGACATTTTAGTTATTTTCAATCTTTGTATTACAGATAGTAGTGCAGTAAAATGGCTTGGGCTTTTTACATTTTTGCCAGTGTAACTTTAAGCTAGATTCTTAGAACTGAAGTCACTGGACCAAAATGTATATGGTTTTGTAATTTTGCTAGATATTATCAAATTTTCTTCCATAGGAGCTGTGCCATTTTGAATTTCCATCAGTAAGGTATAAGTGTGCCTGTTTTCCCAGAGACTCTCCAACACAGTATGTGGTCAGACATTTGGATTTTTTTGCCAATCTGATAGATAGAAATGGTATACCAGTGTAGTTTAATTTGCTTTTCTTTTATAGGCAAAGTTAATCATCTTTTATCTCTAACCCATTTTTCTGTGGAGTGATTGGTCTTTTTCTTCATTTTTAGGAGCCTTTTATATACTGGAGATATTAATAACCCTTTGTCTGTGATATAGTTTCAGATATTTTCCTGAAGTTGTAATTTCTATTTTTACTTTATGGTGTGTGCGTGTGT